AAAAGGGGGGGGGGGGGAGCAGAATGCTGGCAGGAAGGAAAAAGAAAGTAAGACTTGGTTTTGGGAGGCCGTGGGATGTTTTTAATGAATGTAATTGAGTGTAATTGTGGGGTTTGCGGATGTTAAATAAAATGGGAAGCTGCCAGTCTTGTATACAAGAAGAAAGAGCTAGTAACATGCTGATAGTAGTGGGAGTCCCTCCATGTTTTTGAAATTGAACCCTTCTTCCTCCAGCTTGAGCCCTTCGGTGCTGGGAGTTTTCAGAGACTCAACCTACCAGTGGAATGCACTTTTTTCCCTTAGTTTGCAACCTACAAATGTGAACTGGAGGTTGCTTTGATGGGAGTTTTCAGTTGATTCTGGGTTTTGAATCTTGCTTTGAGGCAGACTGCTGGTGGCAGGTTTCCTACTTCTGCTGGTCTTTGTTGTTGTCACCGTAGGAGGGACGTATACCATGAACTGAGCCGTTTCGGCTTGGTGCGGTGCTTTGCTTGTAAGAGAGGAGGAAGTTGGACAGGGACCAACAGCTCCTTCTTCTAATCTTGAACGAGTTTATGTAACTTTATCTGTGTAACTTGGACAAGAGCTTAGAGTCAACTTAAGTGATGTACAGCAAAACTGGTTTGCTTAGTACGTTGTCCCAGTAATGGAAGCTAAGCTTTGAAGAGCTAGCATGCTTTTATTGGAGAAAGGTATGGGGAAAAAAAAAAAGTTGAAGGACTGACAAACTTGCTTCCCTTCCTGACTGATGAGGATAATCGGGCCAGTCTGTCCCTCCTGGGGTGTTCTAGATTTGGCTTTGACGGGCTCTGTATCGTTTTTGAAAAGTTACCTGATGACAGATTGAACTCAGAAAACAAATTTGCCAAACAGTACTCCTTCATTGAAAAGTTATAGCCTTCGTTAATGGCTGTTAACTCTTTACATTGTACCCTTTGTACAGGTTTGTTGAAACTATAAGTAATAAAGTAGCATTTTCTCCCTTGTTCCCTAAGATGCCAGTGGATTTTTGCTCTCCAGGTTTCTCTTTATTTTCAGCATTGGCACTGAAGAATTGAAACTGCTTTGAGGTGATGTAAAACTGATCCATGCTTTTGGTCATTTCAGGTCTTACTTCCGAAGTTTTCCCATTCTATTAGGTTGTTGGTGTTTAGGCCTGTTCATGGGGTAATTGACCATCAACAAGGCTAAATTAAAATTAATCACTCAGTTTTGTTTTATCAAAATGTATGGAGGAAAGCTGAATATTGTTTGTGAACTCATTTCCCCTGCCCCGATATTTTAACATAGACTTGGGTTCTACAAAAGGTTTCCTAGAAATTAATATTTTGCTCAAATTTGGCTGGATGAGATTACTTTTTAAAATCATTTTTATATATATAAGTGTAAATGAAGATGAAAAATCTTGATTACTGCAGCTCTTGGAAGATGTGGATGTTACTTAGGTAGTTGGCTGGATGCCTGAACTTGGCCCTGAAGTAACTGTATGGGCTTTGTCTGCAGTAAGGGTCAATACTATCCTGTTGATTCACTGAGAATTGTTTGGTGACTGTAAATCAGTGTCCTCTGTATGTGATGCACATCTTTGAGCTTTCAAAAACTCCCCAAATCTGCAGAAAGATTTAACTCAACTTTTCATTTTTGCAAAATATCGAGTTAGACACCTTAAATCAGTGTTGTATGATATTCTGTCTGTTTCTATCATAGATTATTGGAAATACTCTGTGTTAATTAAAATGTCTGCAAAAAATGCTAACATTTTTTCTATTATAAATGGTAGGTAGAATTGTATATTAATTGACTAATTTAAAATGTCAGGATGCTTTTTCCAAGCCAACCTTGCATTAATAGCAAGAATCCTTTTGCTGATGAAATGGTCTCCAATTATCACAGCTTGGGTTTTGTTGTACATTGCACAGAAGTCAACAAAACGAGTATGTAAGAGAACCTGTCTCAATAAGCAACTATACTCATTAAAAACACAAAATTAATCATAGGATGAATGAAGAAGGCAATGTTACGTAGGGTTTTTTTTTTCCCTCCCCTTTCTAATCATAGAACAAAGTAATGTTACATGAAAGGATCGGAACTATTATGTAGTACTCAATTATAAGGAGGTGAATAGGTCCCTAACATGCCATTTTATCAAAGGAGCAGACTGGTGTTTACATGATGGCTGTTTCATTACAGACACCATCATTAATTCCATGTGTCAATACTGCCCTGTAGCACATAGAGCAGACAAGAAAGAGTTACCCTTCAAAACAAGGGAATGATTTTTGAGTCGTTATCAAGCTAAATGGCAAGCAGGAAGCCAGAACTTGTATAGATATATTTGAAGGGACTCTTGGGAGATCTGGAAGTGGAAGAAGAGAATGTATTTTACCAGCTGTTTAATTATGGTGTGTTTCTAAGTACACTTGAATAGAATGCTTTGTTTGCATTAGAAAAATGAATGTTGCAAGAAGGTGTATTTGAGTATATGGGAGGTCACATAAGGATGTTCAAATATGTATAAATATGCACCCTGTGTACTTGTATATATCTTCATGGATACAGAAGTATTCCCGCTGCCACCTACTGGGCTGAAGCCATCTCTCTTCTCCCCTATAGATGTACCATAAACATCTAGTCTCTGGATAGTGAACTGTCTTCTGAGGCTATACGTGCCGGTTTCTGGTGCTTCCCTTGCCACTTGTATCTCACCTTAAACAGTAAGCACATCCTCAGCTAGCCCAAGTTGTCAAAGCTCAGTTGAGATCTCTAAGCAGCCGGTGCTAAGTGGGCACATTGCTGAGGCTGGCAGAGCTGAGACCATTCATACCAGGTAAGGGTCAGCTGTGTGGGCTCTTGTGTGGCACTGAAGTTAGCTGCGTGATGCCTCTTGCAATCCTACCCAAAATTCTGTTATTTAGCAGATAGTTGTTCCAGACTTCTGAAGCTAGCTTTGTAGGTAGCCCAGATCTTTTCATCTGTCTCCCTCTGTGTTCTTCCTCTTTGAAAAACAGGAGTAAGCTCATGTAGTGTTCAGAGCTTGCAGTCAAGTCTTCACTGGTGAAAGGATGCCATGTTTTACACCATTTTAGGACTAGATTATGGTTAGGAAAAAAATAGGCTGATCCCTGCGTCTCCTACTACCTCTTTTTTTGGTGGCCTAGAATATTTCTGTCTTCGTACAGTTCAGTTTCACTGGGCAGCGTTTGTCTGAGGAAGGACGTATGGAGTTCGGCCTCCTAATACAGAGAAAGAACAGCAAACTTGTAACAACCGTCATTCATCCTGTTCAAGGACTTGCAAAGCAGGAAGCTCATGCAGGAACAGAAAGGTAATTGATAAACATCCTTGTTATTCTATGAAATGCGAGATCAGCCTAGCTCGTGGTTAAAGCCTAGAGAGGAGGAAATGCATCGGGAATGAACCTCAAATGCAAGACAGCACAGATCATAATGGTGCGCTTTGACATGAGTACAGCGAGCTGAGAAACGGGCTTTTGAGCATCCCGAAAGAAGATACAAACGCACTTCAGTGACTCAGACTTCTACATTACGTTGTCATGCAAAACTTGGTGCATTTATCCCCAAAAGACCCCCACAAAAACCACAGACCAAGACTTGTGCATATGGATGTGTCTTGTCTGTTGCATCTGGTGTTCAGCGTCTCCGCAGATGACTCGCCGGGAGAGAAAAAGTTTCTGTCAAGTTCTGGAGTGTGTGTAGCAGGATGTGAAAGGGAAGAAGTTGCAGAGAAGGAGCTATTTCTTTATAATTGACAAATGATAAGATGGGACTTCTTGGCAATATTTACAGATATCTTATAAGTATCCTTATGTGAGGAGAGGGAGGTCCCCACATAAGGGGACCTCGGGACCTTGTTTTCCTGTGTTTCTCTTTCCTTTTTCTTGAACTGTTTCTTTATCCTTTACTAGCCATTATAACTTATTTATTACCAATAATAAATTGTAAATGGCTAGTAAATTATGTGATTCTGTGACTTCTGGCTGCAATGTAAAATGTTGCAACCTGAGAGTATGCGTTGTGAGTTTTAAAACAAAAATCGAGGATCCTCTCAGCTTAGAGGGGAAGCAAAGGTGATTTCGTTCTTTGTGGCTATGTTTTTACTTTTAGGACTTAAAAAATATGAGCAAGGACTTACTCTTCAGGTTATTCTTCTGCAAAAGTAAGTGTATTAGATCACTACTGAGGCTTGAACTTGAGTAAGTGGCACTGAAGAATTGTTACAAGACTGATTACAGATTTCAAAGGACACTTGTTTTGTATTATGGTGTTTAAAGCTCAGAAGCCAAAAAGACCTTAGATGTATAGGGTTTTTTCCTGTGAAAAAAGTCTTTGCTATTAGATGCAACTCCAAAGCACTCCGCCTTTGCCTTCGGGGGACCCCTACAGCAGGCAGGGAGGGTTCTGGTCCTGTTTGGACACTACATCTAAAGTCTTCAATTTTTAAGGCCTTTCGAATCTGATTTTGAGTATTCTTTTGATCTCTCCTCGCACACATCTCCAGCAGATACTTGTCAACTTAACAGTGCTCTCATTTGGGCAGAATCTGCATACTAGAGATCTCATTGCCTGAAGGAAGAGGACTTGCTGCTGGTCCTCAAGTATGGCCAGCTCGCTCCAGTCTGTTTAGATCCTACTCTTACACACACACAGAGGCAGAGTCCGGCCTGTGCTCTTTGAGTGTGGTCATTACAGACGTCCTTCCCTGGCCGCCAGCTTCCCACCCAGGCCTGGTTAGCCAAACCACAGCAGTTTCTCCAGGTCCAGTTTCTCATGTTTTGAAATGCCGCAGGCAGTGGGATTTGTGAGCTTATCACCGTCGTATCTGGTTGCCACATTGGTGCAAATAGCTGCATTTCTCTTGCTGGTCTCTGTTCCTCCTGAGCAAAAAATGACTCTTGGAGACTTAACAGCTGCTTGACTGTACAATATCTGGCATATGCATGCCATGTAATTCAGCTGTTGCCTTTCTTGCTGTTCCAATGGTTGTGTTAAGGTTAGATTGCCAGCTGTGTATAAGCAATTTTTTCCCTTCTTTTTTCAGCCAGGGTAGTAGTGCAGACCAGGCAGAGAGCTGGTGAAATGCCTTTGCCTTCCCCATTGAGTGATGGAGTTTTATTGTCTGTGGCTCGGGAGGGTGGTATATGTGTGTTAAATCCGCAGTTTTACTGGGCTGCCTTTCAAGCGAGGGCTAAGTTGACATCAAGCCTCCGCTCCTTTACTTAAGGTGACTCCTGAATATTTAGAGGTATTCTCCTTTTTTTTTTCAGCAGAAAATCAAAATGTTATCTTTGCCCTTACAGCTTTTGCCATAATCCACATATAAATGAGGTGATAAAAAGTAAGGATTAAATAAATCTTTGCTAATACTTTTTGATTGGCTTAATCAATAATTAATCATCTCTTAGATGAGGCTGTAGCTTGTGGAGTAGATATAATTGGATTAGCTGCCGAGAGGCCTTTGGAGCTTTGAAGAGATTAAAATGGCTGTCAATCCTGTAATTAAACTACCACAAACAAAAGCAATAGTATTAGAATCAGTTGGCTTTTTTTAAATGAATCAACAAGTACTTACACACCCCTAGCAGCAGTGTAGGCAGGGTCTGTTCTCGTAACCGATTTATTTCCTGCAACAAGATGAATATGTATCAAATGATTGTTTTAATTGCCTGGGCATATATTGGCCAGAATGGCAGGTGAAATTTTAGGAAGAAATGGCTGTCAGAGAACTCTTAGAAGAAAAGCTACTTTGTGTATCTAAAACAGTGAACCTGCTCCTTGTCTTGAGCCTATTAGGCACTGACTTTTCATGGTGTCTTTAATTGGCTAAGTAGGTCTGGCCTACATGAATGAAGTCTTTATCTGTCCTGCGCTTCCCCTCCCACCTATTTTGGAAGGTTTTTTGTTCTTCTTTCTTCAAAACAGAGGGTTTTAGCAGAAATAACTTCCTTTTAAAGGCTCATTATGTACTAAAGCATGTACTGTATGTGACTGTATTATACACATGTGAATTGATATGTGTGCATATGCTAATATATATTCTTTTTTTAAATCTCTTACAGAGATGAGCTTATAAAACCAATGGGAGTGCGGCCGGATGGTACAATGGCTCCTTTGGAAGAAGCAGTCAGCCAGTACCATACCAACAAGCAAGACAGTTCAGATTCAGACTAAAGCATCACCTGCTTCACTCTCAATTCTCCTCTAATCCACACTTTTCCTTAGAGCCACGACATCTTTTATCTAGGCATTTCATCCTCACGTTAGCCAGCATCACTTTAACTGTTCTATTCTTGGGCTATTTAAATGATGGGTCCTGCGGTGTAATGTCTGAATTTTTATTATGTCTGTTTAAAGAACATATCAATTCATTAGTTTATGATCTTTATTAATTTAAAACTAAACGTATTTCAAAGGGATAAAAAAATGAAAGCCCACAACGTAGAAATAAAATACAAACACTTTAATTTTCCAGAATCCTGTTTTCTGAACTCTGTAGGTTTTCCCATTCTTGGTATTTTATTTTCTTGTATTGTCTTGCAAGTCTCTTCCTTTATATAATTGTAATTAAAGAAGCGTGTTTGCTTAATGGCATTAGGAGCAGAGGGTATTTAAACTTAGAAGTCTGACTGACCTTGTGAAGCTGCTTTAACTGGTATTCAGCAATGATTTCAGAGCTGCCCTTTTTAAAATGTCATTGGATTTCTTAGTGCTACACCCTTCTGTGGTTAAGCTGCTGCTTAAGATTTTACCAATGTGTCAGTCCCTGACTGCTGCTAAAATTACCTTTAAATTGGGAACAAGGTGATGTATGTTGTATGTCCTCCCTCCCTCCCCTCTCCACCCACCCCCCCGCCCCATCTTTGGTTAAGTAAAAACATCCCTATTCGAAACAGCGCTGAAGTATGTACACTTAAATGTTGCCATGAATGGGAGTGGACCGAAGTGAAGTGCATGTGCAAGTGTTTTACTGAATTGGGGCCTACTTTTGGAGATTAATGGGCATGCCTCACTTGAAGGGAAGTTAAACTAATCAACAAAGAAATATTTCCTTTTAGGGAGAACTTAGGAAGCGATGGGATAGGGAATGGGAAAGTGGGAAGGAGAAGAAAGTGTCACTTTCAACTCTGTACTCTTCAAAAACAAAGATTAAAGTTTTAGGCGTGCTGCACTGCTGTCGTTGCCTCTTTGCCTGCTTGGTTTCTTTCCCTGTGTGTTTCTCCCAGCATGAATTACCTGAAGAATAATCCATGTCCTAGTTTGTAATTCCTTTTTTTTGCTCAGAAGCATACACATGCCACTCCTTGCGAACCTTTCGGAGGTTGGTGAAGGTTCTCCAGTTTGTTTCCTACAACTTGACACTGGTTCCCTGAACTAAGGAAGCTGGTGTTCAGAGGCCTTGTAAAGGGAGGGCTTGGTATGGAATCATGCTGTGGTTTCCCGTGTCAGGAGCTTCCACAGGTCTCCTTAGCCTTCTGAGAGGACTAAAAAGAAATAATGCACTGCTGTCCTCTCAGCGGTAAATATCTTTTCCCAAAGGACACTGCCCAGCCATAGCAATGCCCCTTTTTTTAAAAAACAAACAAGCAAGGGAACTTGGGGACATCAATTCTATACATTTCTATAAGCAGGGACCTTTCTGAATGTTAAAATCATCGATGTTTTGGGTTATGACTTTACCTGGGCTACGCTGTCTGCTGTATCCGCATGGAGCATCGCAATTTGCATAGGGGGAAAGGGAAGCCAGCTACTGTTGCCACATAGCAATAGCCAAAGCAAAACCCATCAACGGATGGATAATGCTGTAATCACGCCTATTATGTATGAATCCAAAGCGGGGAGGGAGGCGTTGTCCAGGAGCAAAAAGTATGCTGAGCTGCATCTCAAAAATGTAATTCTGGGCTTAGCATCATCCACTGACTACTCTGAGCCCAGCACAGGCAAGTATTAAGTGCACTGCAAGCGCAAAGAATTTATGAACCCTCCCTGAGGAGCAAAACTTAACTAGCTCTGCTAATGAGGAATTGAGTCCTGTCTTGGTATCAGCTGAGGCTATTTCTTGGGGCTGGAGAAGCAGTTATTTCAGTAATAGGCTTCTATATGGGTTGCTATAGAGGGATGAGTACAGAGCATGAAAAAGAGCAAAACCTCAGTTTGTTGCTTTACAAGTTGTAGAATGTGCTCCTCCAGTTAGCTGGCTAAAGAGATTAACAAAACAGTAATGGCTCCAGGGACCTCGCTACAAATGGTATAGCACGAGGCTTTTGTGGTCTGGCTCCTGCCAGTTGCAGCCGGGCAACAATCGTTGCAATGAACAGCTCTTCTCTTTAGTTTACCTTGGAAAATGCATTCTCGTAGTAGGTTTTACAGACATGAGATGCTGCTTCAGTTAAAAAAACGAAGACCAAGCATAGAAGGTTCTGCCTGAATCTTCCAGCTCAAGAGTGATTTTCATAATTGGGTTGCCTGTAGTGGGAGTGCAGGTTGATCTAATTAAATTAATAACTTCCACTGGTGCAGTATCCCAAAGCATCTCTTGTTCCGAGGTGACAGTTTGCATAAGGGGTGCTGCAAGATTTTTTGGCTTATCTTTGAAAGGTAACATAGATCCATCCTTAGCTGCAGCGGCTGGAGATCTGGGAAAGTCTTGGAACAAAGTTCCTCTGACACAACAGTGCGTCTGCTTCCTTGGGTGCTGCATGACGTGCGTTTTCGCTTCCAAGTCACGACGCGTGTGTTAAGATTTCTCTTGGATTGGGAGTCTGGAGAAAAGTAAAGTGAGTATTTGGTGGTTTAAAAAAAGAAAACCAAAACACCTCCTTGGAACTGTTTGTTTACTGTGAAATTAGGATTTGCTCCCGAGTTTATTTTCAAAGCTGAACCTCCAAAACTGGAGCCTTGGGCAACTGAACCTTATTTAAACCGGCAAACTGCTCGGCGAGCCTGACCAGCTTGGGGAACGCTCTCTCTTTCCTCCCCAACAGCGCACAGAGGTCCCGTGTCTGCATTTGAACGAGTGTCCGAAACGCCTGTTCAGACGTGACCGTGAGACTCTGCTGCAACCTGCAACGTTTTAATACCCGGTAGCCTGAAGCCTGGAGAGCCGTGAAAGGTTTGCTGCCTCTGCTAGCAGTAGCTCTGATAGAGTCGTTATATATGTATTTGACTAATGCATCCTACATGAGTTATTCTGTATTATATGAAATAACGATATTTGATTATATAAATATATGCTTTCGGTTTTCCTTCAAAACATTTGAGCATAGTTGACACAGAAAATACTGTAATTGGCAAAAGGAACTCTTCTGAGTAAAATGTCAATAGATTTTCTGGTGGTGACTAGAAGTGTTAGCCAGTGGCTTTCGGAGACATGTACCTTTCATTCCCAAAAAGCCTTTCACTGTCAATCCCAAATACAAAAATTTGTGTTTCAACCTTTATTTTGGCATCCGCAGTCCGAAGTAACACAGTTCTCATTAAAGCTCGTCGATGATTTGGAAGCTTTGCTTTTCTTTGTTTCCCATTAGAGTTATGAAACAAAAGATGATGGGAAATTGCTGAAATTTGTCAGCATACTTTGTTCTTTTGCAAAATAGCTCAGATGTATTTGTTTAAACGTTCATGAAAACTTCCTGGCAGGTATTCTCAAATGCTAATTGAAACTTTATGTGCCCCAAAAGTGGTTTTCAGGAAAAAGGGCCGTTTACAATCCGTTAAAAATGTTGTTGTGAGAAAATTGCCAGAACTTTAAAGAAATTTGCCAAAGAGGAAAATCACATTAACTTCGATGTTTTGAGTATACAACATTGCTGTATATTGTGTGTGGCCAAAATAGATTTTTCACCCTTTATCTGGACTTTTTCCAAGTACCTGAAAATCTGCAATGGCTTAAAAAAAAAAAAAAAGAGAAAAATTGGCCACTAGTATATTTCTGTTATGGTTCTTCAAGCAATAATTTTCCTCTATCTGGGTGAAAAATTAGTTGTCAAAGGTGACTAAGGAAAAGAATATTACAATGAAGCTGTCGTATTAGTTGGTTGCTAAGCGTCCTAGTCCAAGAGAGGAAAGTAAACCCCAAAGTATACAAGGTCCCAAATCTCCTGAAGGAGCATTCCACAACATTGTCCTTCGCCTTATTACCACAAAACAGCTAATAAAACCCTGTGCTTAAATAAGGCTGGCTGTAAAAAGACTGTTCCGCTGTTCAAACAGTTGAGAGCCAGACTTTGCCGGTCTTTGATGAGCAGCAAGTTAAACAGCAGCCCAGGTCAGATTCTTTTCTGTCCAAGCATGGAAAAATGATGATTTAGTAGTAGTACAAAGATGTAGCTCACTTTCAGGAAAAAAAAAAAAAAAAAAAAAAAAAGGCACGCACAATTTAATCTGGCAAAGGAAAATCTTTTTTATGTTAGCGTATTGGTTACGTGGATGGCTCTGGCTCTTATGAAAAGTGACAGGGAACCTTTCCTCGTTTCTTCGTGCAAAAACTTTTGCTCATCCTGAAGTCGGTTCTCTCCAAAATCCGTGTTCTGTTAGCCTTGCCATGTATCCTCCAGCCGGGTGTGCTTGGGAATGCGGAAGCGGCTCTGGCGTCGGCAGCTCGGCGCTGGCTGAAGAGTAGGCAGAGGAGCCTGGAAAGGTACGCTGTCGCTCCTTCCCGACCCCTGCTGCCAGCCAGCTGCCTGGGGGTGACCCGAGGGCAGCAGAGGCCCTGCCTGGCGGAGGTGGGACCTGGGAGGCCACCCTCCCTATCTCCTACTGCCTGTGGGTCACCAGGGCAGGCGGGGTGGGGGAGATGCAGGTGGCTGCGTGGCACAGAAAATGGTGGTAATTGCCTACTTGCAGTAAAGCTGAGTGTTTGTCAGGGCTCCTTCTCTCACCACCAGCATCACTGTCTGCAGGTGAGTCCGGTTAATCCTCTGCTTTTACCTGTCACTTGGCCCCATAGAAGGCTGTGCGTTCATTGGGGTATTGCCTTTGGTTGCAAGAATCGGTAACGCTTTGGCTGTGGCATGTCTGTCCCTCGTTTTGGAGGTGCGCCCGTACCTCTGTGACTTGCTCTCCTTCTTGAGAGCGAGCCCCCATTCCTCACTCTGTACAAGTGAGGATGAGGAAGAGGGGGTGCCACAAGAAGGGACCAAACTCGTTCGTTGGGAAGGAGGTAGGAGCAGCCATGTCTCCTGTCTATGCAGCACCGGAGCCACTTTCAATCCCACCATTAGACACCTCTAAGGGCCAGGCTGTCCCGCAGCTACTCCCATCTCAGTGGCCTCTGGCCAGGCTTGAGGACAGCAGATGCAGTCTGACAGGTGGGGAAAAAGAAAAATTCCCCAAAACCTGACCATCGCCACAACCAGTCCAACACCATCACCTGA